GCTCTTCTACTTCCATTATAAACCACATTTATGGGTCAAGAAAAATATGAAAAGGCGTTAGTATTCATTTTCCAAACGAAATGTCATTTTCAAACTCAGTGTCATAAAAATCAGATGTGCTGAGTATCTGTTGACCGCGTTATTTACAGAAGCGATAAAAATGTATAGAGCAGTATCGATTCAGCCCACGAGCTTCCTTCGCGCAGAGACGGCGGCGGCGGCGGCGGCGGCGGCGGCGGCGGCGCTCCAAACCGAGACGACTTCCCACGTGCGGATGGCAGTCCCTCGACGCCGGGGCGCTGCGCTTGCAGGCGAATATTGTTGCATCACACGGAGAAATTGCGAATCTCTCTCTTTCCCTCTCTCTATCCCGGTTGCCCGCCATATATATATATATATATATATATATATATATATATATATATATATATATATATATATATATATATATATATATATATATATATATATATATATATATATATATATATATATATATATATATATATACATATATATGTAATATTATATATATATATATATATATATATATATATATATATATATATATATATGCATATAAATGTATACATACACACACTACACACACATATAAATGTATATACGTGTGTGTGTGTGTGTGTGTGTGTGTGTGTGTGTGTGTGTATGTGTGCGTGTTTTAGAGATCTGCTTTCATTTATCCATTGGTCTCCCAGCTGGCGCAGGAGATACGACTTGAAATGCTATTTCAGTTCCATCCTGGCCGACCGTAGGCGGCGGTGAGGAAAAAGTCTCCGGGGTCAGTTCGCCGCACATCGGTTACAAAATCCTTTGACTCGGTTCGCAAAACCCTTCACACGGACACAGGTAGCCAATGGAGGAAAATCCTCTTGTAATAAAAATATCCAGACACTTATTTATAGAGAGAGCGTCCCTCGAGAGAGCTGGCAGCCGTGCGTTGCGGGCGCGCGTGAGTGTTGGCGGGCGGCAGAGCGGGCGGCCCTCGCGGATCAACCGCCTCGCCTCAGCCGAAGCAAACACGCCCACGGCGTTTAACTGGCGATTTATGTGTCGCTGCTGCAGTGCGCAGAAGGCGACGAGAGTTCACGCAGGGCTGCACGGACCATCGGAGGATTTCGGGTCTTGCTGTTTTCGCGTCTAGCAGATTCTCTCTCTCCTCCCTCCCTCCCTCCCCCCCCTCCCCCCCCCTCCTCTCTCTCTCTCTCTCTCTCTCTCTCTCTCTCTCTCTCTCTCTCTCTCTCTCTCTCTCTCTCTCTCCTCTCTCTCTCTCTCTCTCTCTCTCTCTCTCTCTCTCTCTCTCTCTCTCTCTCTCTCTCTCTCTCTCTCTCTCTCTCTCTCTCTCTCTCTCTCTCTCTCTCTCTCTCTCTCTCTCTCTCTCTCTCTCTCTCTCTCTCTCTCTCTCTCTCTCTCTCTCTCTCTCTCTCTCTCTCTCTCTCTCTCTCTCTCTCTCTCTCTCTCTCTCTCTCTCTCTCTCTCTCTCTCTCTCTCTCTCTCTCCCTCCTCCCTTTCCCTCCCTATCTATCTATCTATCTATCTATCTATCTATCATCTATCTATATATATATATATATATAATATATATATATATATATATATATATATATATATATATATATATATATCCCCTCTCTCTCTCTCCCTTGAGAAGAAAATCATTCATAAACTTGTTAGTTTGTTCTGTTTATCGAGGTTTTAAGCATATGAGTTTTATGTTCTTATCCAAAAGTACTGACGAGATGGATGCATAACGCTGTATGCGTTTACAGTCATTGCTGCAGATATCTATTTATTTATCTTGATGACCATGCAAAATACGTGCATCTGAAGAGGTTTCCCGAACGCTTTCCCATACACAAACGATTTCTCTGAATAGAGAAGTCTCTCTACTCGGGTGATGCTGAGCCCTCGTCCGGCATAAATCCCACAACAGCACGGCTCCCATACGCAGCAGCATAAAACTCGCAGGGCTCAGCTGTTCCAAACTCAGAGCTTATGTGTGCTGCCCGGGAGTTCAGTGCTGTGCTCTGTTCATGAGCTTTATTCAATATCTATGTTATTACATTTTTGTGTGTATGTGTGTGTATGAGTGTGTGTGTGTATGTGTATGTGTGTGTCTATGTATGTACATATGTACATATGTACATATATATATATATATATATATATATATATATATATATATATATATATATATATATATATATATATATATATATATACATATATATATATGTATGTATGTATGTATATATATATATATATATATAATATATATATATATATATATATATATATATATATATATATATATATATATATCTTCTTATTTCCATTTTCCCTCCCCTGCCTTGTGCGTCCGCCCCCGCGCGCCCGCACTGCTTGCCACGCACACGCCAGCGCGGGGGAGTGGAACCGGCTCGAAGGCAGCAGCGTGCAATTTTCTTCTTTCTCTTCTCTCTCTCTCTCCCTCGCCAGGATAAAGATGACGTCACACGCCCTCCTCTTTATTATGGTGATGGCGGCGGCGCCCACGTTCACGCCCACGGCCGGCCAGAACGCCCACGAGAACGAATTTGGCTGCCATTGCATGGAGTATTGGACGTGCATCACCAGGTGAGGGTGACATCTTCATTATTGTTATCATTATTATCACTGGAATTATTTTTATTATTAATATCATTTTTATTGTTATCTTTATTAGTGATAGCAGCAGCAGTATACGTAGTTTATGTATTGATATTGTTATCATTATCATTATCATGAACATAATCATTATTATCATCTTGATTATTATCATTATTATCTTTTTTATTTTTATCCTTTTACCTCCGCCAATGAGTTCGTTTGTTCGCTAGTTAGCAGGATAACTCAAAATGTTTTCCCAGGTGTGAGGCACCAACTGAGATGCCACAGAGTTTGGCGGGAAACCGGATCAAGATCGGATCAGGAAGTTTTTAAATGATCCATTAGCATTCCGAGATAGGGACTTGCATTCTTTAGAACTTAGATTATTATCCTTATTATCATTATTAGTAGTAGTAGTATCATAATCACCAGCATCACCATTATTAACGTAAATATTAGTGAATATTTTTATTGCATCAGTGACCCTATTGCCTTGGCTGAGGTATGCGCTCTCTGAGTGCTTCTAGTTATCATTATTATTGGTGTTATGATTACTATTATTATTATTATTATCATTATTATTATCATTATTATTATTATTGTTGTTATTATTTTTTTTCTATTATTTTCATTATTAGTATTGTTATTATCATTATCATTTTTATCATTATTACCTCCGCAGAAGAGGCTTTGTTTTTGGTCGTGTTAGTTACTTAGTTTGTTTGTTTGGCCGTTGGTTAGCCGGGTAAATCAGAAAGTTATAGCCAGATTTTTACCAGTGATGTATCTTAGTTTATTGTAGATTCCATTAAATTTTGGTGATGATCCAGATCATGATCCGGATCCAGTAATTTTTTGAACGAGTGCTTCTGGTTATTGTTATTATTGTTATTATTGTTATTATTGTTATAATTTTGGTAATATTATCATTATTACTATCATCATTGATATTATTATCATTAATGGTATTGTTTTTGTATTATCATTATTTTTATCACTATCGTTATTAATATCATTATTATTACTATTTTTCACTATGATTAGTATTATTATTGTCATTACTATTAGTAATATTTTCATTATCATTATTATTGTTATTATTATCATTATGACCATTATCATCATCATCATCATCATCATCATTATTATTATTATTATTATTATTATTATTATTATTATTATTTTATTATTATATTATCATCATCATCATCATCATCATCATCATCATCATCCATCATTATTATTATTATTATTATTATTATTATTATTATTTATTATTATTATCATTATCACTGTTACTGTTGTTATTGTTATTGTTGTTGCTGTTATTAAGGATGTCATTATCATTATCGTTGCTCTAATTGTTATTATCATAATCAGTTTATCAACATTATCACTTTCCATTAGCACTCGGTGAGCACGCGAGGGCTGGATAAAAGACAAAGGAAAGAGGATAGTGAAATTGGAAAGAATAGAAAAGGAAGCGAGAAAGGAAAGGAAAAAAGTGTTTAGGGATAATGAAAGAGGCGCGAGTGAGAATGATTGACAGCTGGCACAAAATCCGGGGTGGGAAGGGTGTTTGGGGCGGGGGGGGGGTAAGTAGGGTATAGGGTTTCTTATCCTTGCTGTCAAACTGTTCAGAAACTTGAAAGGGAAAAGAAGAAGAAGGGGATGAAGGAGGAGGAAGGCAAAGGAAAAAAATAGATAGAAAGAACAGGAGGAAGAGGAGGAGGTGGTGTAGAGAAGTAGAACGAGGAGGAGGAGTAGGAGCCTATGAAAAAGAATGAGGAGAAGAAGGGAGAGGAGGAGAAGGATGCGAAGAAGAATGAAGGAAAGGGGGAGGGGGAAGAGGAGAAGGAGGAAGTAGAAATGGAAGTAGAAAAAGAATAAGAACAGGAAAAACAAGACCAAGAAAGAGAACAAGGCCAAAAGGAAGAAAGAGAAAGGAATAAAAACACAAACTGTTTCTGACGAATCCAGTCATCAATCTATCCTAATGGAAGAAACCTCTCGTGTGGATTTGATAAAGAGAATACTAACGCTTTAAAAAAAAAACATGAAATGAAATTAGACATTGGTCGTGGGCGGCCGAACTGCATCGCAATTCTGGCGTTATCATACAATGCTATGTTCTTGTGATAGTAGTTTTCACTTGGATATTACATCGTTCTTGGTATTGCTATTAGGATATATCACACATTATTCACTTGGAATAATGTTTGTATATGGTGTTGAGTTATGGATTGATATTGGGATCGAATTAACAAAAATTATATGTGTATATATATGCATATATACACACACACACACACACACACACACACACACACACACACACACACACACACACACAC